GGATAACTGATTTTTCCGGTTTTCTGAATCGCTACAAAATGCCGTTTTTTTAATGTTTATAAAACGAAACTAAAAAATAATTTTGAAATAGTTTTAGAAATAATAAAAAATGATAAATAATAATACACTTAAGTTTAAATAAGGAAAGAAATTATGAAATAAAAATTATATACAGGCTTATATATGTTATTAATGTTATTATTAGCATTAATAAGATATATAAGCTATTTGTGCTTATGTGAGATTCGTCTACAAACGGCTTTTGATCCGTCCTCAAAATCAGTTCTTTCGTCAACTCGATACGCCGTACTCTCTAAATAAAAAAATGGGCTCAAAATCCTGCAGCAAAAAAAAAAAAAATTTTAATGGAAGAAAATTAATTTCCGGTTCTGAATTTATTCCGGTTATCTGGTTTTCTGGTTTTCTGATTTCCGGATAAGAGGTTCTGCACTGTATATACATTTTTAATTATTTAATTTGATCATATGTTTAAAAAGGTGATTACATTTCTCTCGAGATTACAATATAAAGCAGCTATAGTTCAATAGTTAAAATAAAACAAATTATCTTTGAAAATTGTTCTCAAAACATTTAAAATTAAGCTTAATCAGAAACAATTCCAAGAACCTATTTAATTTCAAACATAATCTTAAAACACAATTCAGTCATAAATGGTATACTTTAAACAGGGTTCCCACTCAATTTCAGAAAAAGAAAAAAAATTCCCTGACTTTTTCAGGTATATCAAGAAACTTTGCTCCATATTTTATATATACCATGCAATTTTTCAACAGAAAACTTTGATTTTTTATTTGTAATGTCAAATATTAGATTTTGTGATCAAAAAAAAAAATTTCATCAAATAAGGATAAAGCATTAAGTGTCACTAAAATGTGACAATATTTGTAATAGATGCAAGAATTATTTAACTATAATCTCAATAACTATTTGGTGTTACTGACGATTCTCAGACAGGAAGTGAGCATACCCAAAATTTTAATGCTACCGCTCTTCCAATTATTTCATGATATACAAGAAAAACAGCTGAAAATTTTTATATTGAGCAAATATTTCCAAAACCATAATTTTATTAATTAGGGCATAAAAATTAGAAAACCTGATAACAGGATTAATTTGATAATTTTAAAATAACTTTTTATTAGCGCAGTCATGTTAATTTAAATGTAATAAATCCGTGGTATTACCATACATTTTCACAAAGTTTAATTTTCTCTCCTACAAAAAAAGTTTACTTAAACTTGGATTAAATTTCTTTCAGTTTCTGAAAAAAAATTACTTACAAATTTAGATTATTAGAAAAAATAAGTTGTTTTGATTGGCATTGTAAAATCACTTTAAATCATTAAAAAAAAGAATGAATTGGATTACAGACATTCATTTTGCAGAAGTTTGCTGGTATGCATGGAATGCTTCCGCCCTCGAAAATTACTGAAACTGAATCACTATTTCTAGGCTTTAGAGAGAATATAGTTTTTTGTTCCATCAATAAGGTTTCTCAATATAAAAATTACCAAAATCAGCTGCAGCAATTTTTGTTACATTTTTCTATATTTTTTTAACATGCTTTGCATATTGAAACCCAAATTACTGGCTCTATTTTAAGATATATTATAAAAAGATTAAAATATATAACTCAACATTAGCAAACACTTACAATTAAAATTTTTAAAGATTTCCAAGTTTTTAATTAGTGCCCAAGGAACAAATCTCACTTTACCAAAATACCTTGATTTTTTTTATTAAGCTTTATAGGTAATTTGTTACATTAAAGGTCATAGAGGTGAACTTACTCTGAAATCTAAAAATAACTGTGGTGCAAAGTAATCTGACAATAACTGCAGAACCAGTTCCAAGGGGTGTAAAGCAACGTCAAACAGGAGGCAGAGCCACCTGGCATTATATTAATGCTAATCATAGCATTTATGCTATGATTAACATTAATAGTGATAAGTTTTGAAAAATTCAAGTCTAATATGAAAAATACTCAGATATGATTCATTGCAGCCTATCAAAAATTGCCTTCAAGGGCCTTCCGTTTTGTAAATGCTGGTTTAGGGAATTTACAAAATTGCATGAATGGTTGGTAAAATTTTTAAAAAATATGCATATTTTCTCCACATTATATATAATCCTCACTTAAAATTTACAGATAAATTAATTAAAATAATGGACTGAAACTGAATAATATAAGCTTCCGAAAAGTAATCACATTTCGTATTTTTTCCCCCCACTTTTAATAACATATTGTATACATAATACATCAGTATTTGTGATGTAAAAAATTATCAAACCTTAAATCTTGAAATATTAGCTGTCTTCCAGGTTTGCCAGACATATTTTCAGCCTAATATCACAGTATGTGCTGACAGTGCTGTGGTCAAAATATACAGTGAACCACAAAAAATTTATAATAATTCAGAATGAAAATTCTGTGACTTTTCTAGGTATACCAGGTAAATTTCTATAAAAATTAAGACCATATTTTCATCAGGAAATTTTGATTCTTCTATTTGTAATGTGAAATATTAGATTTTCTGTGTAAAATAGCATTAAATGAGGAAAAGAACATTTCTGTTTGACTAAAATGAGAATCTCTAACAACAAATAATTGTAATAGATATTAGAATTATTTAACTCGAATAACAATAACTGATTACTATTACTGACAATTTTAAGACTGGTTATTTTCCAGATATGATATAGGAATATTTAATAGGATAATGATATAGGAAGTTTTTGTATAAAAAATAGCATCTTTCTCTGACTATTCCTTGATTTTTGGGGTTAAAATAAAATTTCTGGACAATTCCAAGTTTTCCCAGGAATTGCAACGTTGTTTATATTGTTTATTTTATTTCAATTAAAAAATATACCAGAACAATACAATCAAAAACTGACAGTTAAGACAAAAGAAATCAATCATATCAAAGAGAAAAAAATATTTTAATAAAATAATAAAATTTTGTCTCACTTAGTAAACACAGAAAACTACAATTTTTGTTTTAATTCGGCAATTTGGAAGTCAAAAGCAGAAACTTCTTACGAAAAATTCCTGTTTAATTTTGTATCTCTGTTTAAGATAATTTCATACATTGTACCTGCATGATGCGAAAAACGCAAAAATGCAGCGAAATTTCTAAAGAAAAAAAGGGATATCTCAAGTCTGTAAATTAAAATAACATGCTACTTTTCTATATACTTTTAAAAATACTGAAGCAATAAAATTATCAAAAATGATTTCTTGTAATTAATGAATTGTTAACTTATTATTATTAAAGATTAACTTGCTGTTAATATTAATATCTAATTCAAATTAAATACAAAAAATGAACGTAATTTATCTGAGCTTCTTCTAAATTGTATAATAAAAATAAATGCTAAAATTTAGCTATTAATAAATTTACTAGTATCCCTGCTATACACAAATATTCTGCATCACAATACTAGTTTATTAAAAAAAAACTTTTTAAAAATACTAAATCATCTCAAACAAGATTAATAAATATATAAGCATTATGAATTCGATAGTAATTAAAATCTTATTTAAACTACTAAATAAAATAGTATTTTGAAAAATAAAATGCGCAAAATGTGACAACTGGATAAGTGATTAGTATTTTTTCCTATTTCTTTTTTTTAGAATGTTAATTAAAAAATAGAGCAAATTTGTTTCAAAAAAAGCAAATAAAAAATATCTGACCCTTTGTTATGAAGAAAAAATAAAATATAAACATTACAGAAAGAAAAATATTAAAAATTTATGTATTTACAAAACAAAAAAATGCTAAAAACAAGAATATAAGTATTAAAAAAAATTTCATTAAAATATTGAAATTAATGATAAAATTAATAGAAATTAAACCCAAGTAAAATAATAAAAAAAAGTCTCATCATCGTAACAATTAGTAATTCATAGTCTTCAAATCTCGCCGACTAGGTACATATTAAAAGACTGAATTAGATAACAGAAAACTAGAACGGAATATTAAAATAAAATAGGAATAAAAATTATATTATATCTGTCCATTTATTATAAAGAATAAGTAAATTTTGGTAACAGATGTCAGGGATCGATCCATTTGGAAACTGGGGCTGTTTTGTGTCCTCTTCACAAAATTTAAAATCTGAATAACATCCCATTCATAAAATTCTAATTTGTGAAAACGGTTCCATCACAAAATTTAAATTCTTAAAAATGGTCTTTTTATGAAATGTTACTTTATAAAATATTCGCACAAAATTGTTCAATGGCAGTTTCTCATAAAAAATTACTGTAACTGACGTGATTTTACGACATCATTGAATCTCGACAACACAAATCGAATTTGTCTAAAATGGAATTCGAATTTCCGGTTTTGTAATAGCGTGTTAAAAGTATTGGAGTTAATACCTTGTTATATACCTACTTAAATAGCTTGTAGATAAAGACAAAGAAATGGTAAAAGGATGAAAAAATTATCTTAGTGAAGTTTCAATGGAATTATCGCAAATCAAATGCTGCTGAACACTTCAAAAGAAGTGATGGCTCAAATTTGAAACTCGCATGTCGTAATATTGTATTAAATAAAAAGGAATTAATTTGAAAAACTATAGGGAAGCGTCCATAAAACGATCGGAAAAAAGCGTGTTTTTCTGAAGAAAAAAATAGGAATAAAAAAGTTTGATTCTCAATTTTGAATGAAAAATTTTTCTCAAAATGTTTTTGAATCAAAAATAAGAATAGATAAAATGAAGTCCATTCATCCTTCTAATTGTTAGGGATTCTAGCAACCAAAAACCCTTCCCCAATCGAAAGTTTTCTAAGTCACAAAACCATGACATGCTACGGTTTTGTGAAAATGGGTGAAAACAAAACTCTTTCATAGGAAATGTGTTTTACTACAGGAAATGTTAGAGCAAAGATTGCATATTTAGCACAGGCCCAAGCAAACTCTGTAACTTTTTCAGATTTTGGCACAAAAAAGTTAAATTCCCAGACTTTTCCCTGATTTTTTGGACATTTTCTGAATTTCCCAACTTTTCCTAATTTTCCAGATAGCATAGCAACCCCTCATAAATAATTCTGCATTCAATATAGATGACTCATCACTGAAATAGTTTATTTCGTCTAAATGTTTGGCGTAGTTTTTCAAAAAAATTTTTATTTTACATTAAGTCTTTCTAGGGGAAAAACTCCCTTGCCGGTCACCTAGAACAATGGTGGCGACTATAGTTAAGGGTTTTAACTTTTTCAACTAGGGTTTTTGGGTCGATTTTAAATAGAGGTTTTAGTTGGGGTTGGCGAGAGAAAGGGAATCAAAAGACAGAGAAGCTCCCCTCTTTTAACCCACTGGTGGTTTAGCAAACGGGGAAAATGTTTCTCCCCAATATACCACTTTTCTATCTAATAACGTGGGAAAAGTGCGGAGAAGGCTGCAGGTTTCTGTGCGGAGAAGACTGTAGGTTAAAATAAGATTTTTTACGTGCACAACCGTCAGTGGGTTAAATGCACTATTTTGTTTACATAGCAGCAGACGGCTTTAGAATTTGTGGTGAGAGGAATTCTTTCTAAAGACAAACTATAAAACTTTGACTATAAGTTTATATAAGAAGTAAAGTTCTATTTAAATCATTGTAAAAGTTATGCCAACATTAAACAGTATAGTAGGGATTTTTTCACTCATCAGAAAAAGATAGTATCATGAAAACTTTCCTTACAATCCTTGTCTAAGAACAGATCATCTCTTAAGCAACAAATAAATAAAAAATTCTTATTAGCAAAGTACCAAATTACACTACTGTAAAAGTGATATGTCAATTAAGTTTAAAAAAAAACGGGTTTGACCTCAATTACTTTGGATAATTAGAGAACAACCATATATTTAAAAGAGTACACTTAAACTTTTCAGACATTTTTACAAAGTTAAACTTTTAAGTGTCAAATATGAATACATCTGAGTTTTTATGAAAGAAGTTCATAGACATAAAAACATTTTAAAACAGTTTAAGAAAGAAGGAAAAAGAAAACACTAGTTACATAACAATCAATATGCATTAGACAAAATAGTAGAATATGCATTAGACAGAATAGAACTAAAAAACAATGTATGATGATAAAATCATGTTTTATCCAAAAAGCAAATCATTGAAAATCATTTTTTAAAACCCTAAGTAGCTAAATTGAAATCTGCAATACTTGGTAACTAATCATTCAAAACATAGGCTATGAATCAATAACTTTTTTAGTTTCATGTTTCTTTCACATCAAAGAAATTAGCATAGCTACTCTAAAACTCTTAAAATATAGATATTAACTAAAATTTAACATTCACAATCTTTGAAGATGTTAATTCAGTACCGGAACGAAATTCGAGGAATTTTCCTGCCATTTTTAAAAAAAAAAATTTTTTTTCCTCATAAGATTTTAGGATTTTTCTTTCTTTTTTGAAAGATTTTTACCTCACCCTCATTTTGGAAATAATCATTAGTGTATTACTTCATCGTTTTTTTCTTCTTTTTAAGATTATTTCCAATTTTTTTTTTTTTTTTTTNCTAAATGGCTTTTTGTAGCAATTCAGAAAACCGGAAAAATCAGTTATCCGGAATAGCGATGGTCCCGATGGTTCCAGATAATCGGTTCCCTACTGTACTAGCAAAACTAGCTGATATGAAACTAGCAAAAATCATGAGAGTATTGCTAGTTTTCGGTTGTATAGCTAGATTAGACAAATGTGTTGCTTATTTATCTAGAATTAAAGTATACAATTGGGATTATAATTCAATTATATGCAAATTATGTTAGATATATGTAAATTATTTTTATTTTACTTTATATGTAAATTATATTCAAATTATAAATTATAAGTATTGTAACACAATAGAGTGCGTGCATACAACATGTGATAGAATAATCTATCAAAATAAATTAAGTGTAATTTATTGTAATTAAACTTGAATATGTTTCAAACAATTAAAATGTGTATAAATAAAAACAATAATACCTTCTGTGTCTTTTCCGGGCTCGATGATGTGCTTCGAGACCTTCTGACAAAGTTTTTAACTTGTCAGGTTCTACTTGAGTTAAAGTATGATCACCGAACCATCTCACCCAAAGCTAGTTTTGAAATAAATAAATTAATATTATAAAATTGTAAAAAAACATTCACTAGAAAAACATTAAACCTAATAATATTAATCTCTAAACCAGGGATGCAAAATCTTTTTGGAAAAATCATGACTTTCTGAAACTACAATAAATTTTGCTTTAATCAATAATAACTTAAATATTCCTAAAAGTAATAACTACATCAATTTGTAACAAAAATTAAAAACTAAGGTGCAGCAAATTCTACGTGATTTCAAAATGAAAAGAAAGAAATGAAGTTTCGCACTGGTTTTTAGTAGATTTTAGTATACTTATCCATGTCTCAATTAGATTTTTTACAAAAAAAAATTTAAATAAAATTAACTTAAATGAAAAATTTACAGCAAAGAGGATGTGTGATATTCACTATTATGATGAAATATGCTGTTTTGCAACAAAAAACAACACCAAAACCCAAAAAGGTATACAACCTCCTTATATCAGTTGCTAGAGAGAGACTAATTAAAATTATTTTATGTTGATCAGAGTAAAATTTTAGTGGTCCCAAACCAATAAGCTATGGTTAATTTCAAACCCTGTGTTGTGTAGGTTAATGCACTCCTACTCTAAATGTAGGGGCACACAAAACAGTGTTACCCACAAATTAAAAACCAAACATACACAGATACATGTATAGAGGCAGAGAAGCATTCAAGCAATAAAAATTAATTCCTCATGAGTTAACTTAAAGCCACTTTTGAATTTTTACGAATTGAAAAACAACAGGTTGAGAAGCAGATACACAGGATGCGCAGTCAAATCTTTCAAGAAAAAACAAGCACCCTTTAAGTACTTTTTAAGCACTCAAAAAATATTTTTAAGCACTATTTACATTAACAAAATGCAAAATAATTTTCATAGAGTTTACATGATCATGTTAAAATAACTAATTTCTGACAAAGAACGCTTTTCTTGATTATATTAGCCATTATAAAATGATCGAGATTTTTCGGTTCAATATCAATGTGTGGAAAAGGAAGTCAGAAATTGAGAATATCTTGCAAAATTCAGCAGAGTTGCACACGAGAGTGCAATAATCTCACCGAACCCAACTCAGTATATGCACACGCGGACTCTAAAGTATTTCATCAAACATGTAAAATGATTGGCGTTTTTATACGCTATGAACCAACGGTACGCAGAAATAGATTGTGGTTGAATTAATTTTGAATAACAGAACAATGTAAAAAGCCCACTTTTGCACGTAATACAAGGCGAAAATCGACATGATAAAGAAAAAAATCTCATTTTCAAAAAGGGAAAATTGAGCACTTTTTAAAAACACCTAATGAAAAAAGCACTTTTAAGGGATTTTAAAAAATGAAAAGCAAAAATAAGCACCTTTAAGCACTTTTTAAAAACGCTACGCACCATGATACAGAAGAAAATGCAATATAAACAGGACAGCTGTTGATAGAACAGTTATTATAGATAAGTACCATCTCTGTGACAGAATCACAGCGAGAGAACAACATTGTTGCAGAATTCTTACAGAAAGATTTTTATTTAGAATGCAAAAAATTTTGGTTTTTACAGCCCAAGTTTTGTTGTAATATAAGTTGTTTTGCAAAACATTTTTCTGCAGAATAGTTTTCAAAGGATTACTTTTCTCAAATCATGGGGGCGAATCATTTTCTCAAATCATCTCATGTCAAGAGGGGGGAAATGCTTCATTTCATTTTCACATTGATTTTAAAATTCCATTTATTATTCAGGGTGCATAGCCAAATCTCTCAACAAAAAATAAGCACCTTTAAAGTACTTTTAAATTAAGCACTCAAAAATATTTTAAGCACTATATACATTAGCAAAATGCAAAATAATTTTCAAAGATAATGATTAAATAACTAGTTTCTGAGAAAAACCTTCTCTTGATTATATTAGCCGCCATGCCCATAAAAAGATAAAGAGATTTTTCGGTTCGATTTCAGAGGGTGGAAAATGAAGCCTGAAATTGAGAATATCTTGGTAAATGGAGCAAAGTTGCACATGAGAGTGCAAGAATCTCACCGAACCAAGCTCGGTAGACGCACATGCGGACTCCCAAGTATTTCATCAAACATGTAACATGATTGGCGCTATCATACATTAAGGATCAACGGTGCGCCAAAATGGATTGTGGTTGAATGAATTGTGAAAATTTTGAATAGAACAATGTGAAAACCATGCTTTTGCATAATATGCAGCGAAAATAGACATGATAAAGAAAAAAAAAAGACAGAATCAAAGATGTTCCACACATTATTGATATTGAAAACAAAAAAACTTGATAACATTGAAATTTAGTTCGTTCAATGCACAGTAAACTATTTTGAAAGTTCCACTAGTAGTAGATTACTTTTTTGGTATTAATGTTTGCATTTCAGTCTGTGCATGTGCAAATTTATTTATATTAATATTCTTTAATATTTACAAATACAAGGAAAGACATTTTACTCATTTTTCAGTTAAAAAGTTTACCTCCTTTATAAATTTCAATCTAAGATTTTCGATTAAAAAAGTTTAGATATAGTTTTATTCTATATATGTAGGTCTTTTCTATAAATACAGAGCACTTCTGTAATCATTAATTATTAACATACATATTTATTACTATTAAAAATATCTTGCAAAATTATATAACTGTTAGATTTGTAGGAAAGCCATAGAAAAAATTCTGTTACAGTACCATACAGAGTTCTCACTACAAAATAGAAAAATATTTGTAAAAATGTCCAGATGGAGCTAATCTAACCATAAAGTCAACTACAAAACAGGTTATGATCATGATTAACACATATTAGTTAATCTACTTAATTTCTTCAAAAACAATTTCGTATTTCACTACATATAAATAATTACAATTAAATACTTACAATTAAATAATTACAATTAAAATCTTAACTGTGTTTACTACAAACAATTTTATGTACTTTAAAAACTAAAATATGTTAAAAATACAACTGCAAAAATAAAAAAAGTACTATTTTTCCTGTCACATAAATTAATTTAGTTAAAGCAATGCACAGTCATTAGATTTCTCAATTAACATGGTGTGTTATAAGACGTCTTACAAGAACTTCTTAAACAGAAATTCTCGTAAAAGGACAATTATATTAGTTTTGAGAGTCTCAGCCTTACAGAGGATTCACTTTAAAAATAATTTACAGCAAGTACCTTACATAGAAATGAGAAGATTGACTTCTATATATACTAATAGATCAACACATAAAAAATATAGCATTTGGAAGAAGAAGAAAAAAGGGATTCTTGCAACACAATATATACCTTCACAAAAACTTATTAGTGGATGACCTTTGAATAAGTCAACTTGAAAAATCCAAACTTGAAAAACCTGAACTATTTTTAATAAATCTAGGAATTTAAAATTGATTTGAATTAGCTTTTTATAAATTTTTAAAAATGTGTTGTTATTTAACATTGTGGGTATTTTTCAACAAAATATAACAGGAAAAAAATGAAGAAAAATTATTAAAAAGAAAAGAAGAAAATCCAAGATTTTAAGAAGGATCTCATCTCATATCTGTTTGTAAAGATCACACTTGGGAACAAATTTTTTGTAGCATTTACTCAAATACTTGATGTTGCCTAATTCAGGTGTGGGAATATAAAATCTGAAATTGGTTTTGCCCCTAAAGCTACATAATTTTTTAGTGCTATTTTTTGTTGAAATATACAAGTTTAAAAACTTCATATATAGCACGACAAACTTCTAGAAAATAAAGGCACATCATCAGGAATAAAATTGCGTGGGAACTCAAGCCCAGAAACGTCATGCGCCGCTAGGGAACTTTCCCTTTTATGAACTGCTTCTTTGTGTGCTTCTGAACCTGGTCAAATAGGGAAGTACCCCTAGCAGTGTACGATAGCATTCTGGGGTATGAGTTCTTATGCTATTTTAATCCTGATGATGTGCCTTTATTTTTTAGAAGTTTGTTGCAACATTTATGTGTCTTTCTGTCATATATAATATTTTTAAACTTTTTCATTTCAACAAAAAATAGACTAAAAATTTCATTTAAAAAAAACTGCAGTTTGGAGAGAGAAACAGATTGAAGATTTGAAATCAGCAATACGAAAGTATCTAAGATCGATCAGTGAAAAAATCTCATGAAACAGAAAACAAAATAAAATTGTACCCCAGTGTAATTTTTATCAAAATCTTTTATCTTTTCCAATTAAATATTTAATAACTAAAAAAAAAAAAACTACCTCTGTATAAGAAAGTGTAAACATTTAAAAACAGAAAAATAAATGAACAAGAACTTTTTATAAAAAATTAATTAAAAATAAAATTGTCTTAAAACACATGTCAAGAAAAATTTTTTGTTTAAAAATCTTGGAATATTCTATACAAAATTACACTTGTAATAAACAGACAATCAAATAATAAAAATTATGCCCTTTAACATCGAAGCAGACAGAGAAGTGCAAAAAAAAAAAATTGTTTACCTTTCCATTTTCAGTTTTATGTGTGCCTTTGACTTCTTCTTGAGGAACGAGTTTTCCAGGCCAAGACGGGAATCCTCGAATTTGTCCCCAAACTAAGTCTCCATCATTGAATGTGCGAGGTTGCGGAGGCAATGGTGGTGACAAGGCAGAACCATCTGTTATAATTATATAATCAAATTATACATAATGTGTTGACTTATTTAGGGATATAAGTTCAAAATAGATATTTAAAATTATGTTCAGCAATCCATACATCATGTATTTACCAAGCACTTTTCCTGATTTGGAATAACTTGCAAAACCAAAATAAAAGTATTGCTCTAAAAAGGTGATAAAAAAGTAAAAAATTTTCTTTCTTGTTAATATGAAATAAAATAAAATAATTGTTTAAACGCCATTTTTTATAAATTAATGAAATTTTTATATTTTAGTTGCCCATAAACCATTATGCGAAACAAAATTTTGGAAATATAGTGTTAGCCATACATGGAGTCAAGATATGATATTGTCAACAAGATATGAAAATACCTTCATTTACTTTTTCAAGAATACAGTCAATTATTGTAAAAAGTAGGTTCAAAAATTGGAATTTTTTAAAACTTAGTAATGGGTTCATTTTTACAAAATAAAACTTTTGTGAAAGAGCAGTTTCTATGAATTTAACTTTTAAATGGGATCGTTGTTACAAATTTGTTAAAGGACATCTATTACTAATTAAATTTTTGTGAAAGGAAAATATTTGCTAATTTGAATTTTGTGATGGGGCTACAAAACGGCCAAATTTTCATTTGGATAAACCCCTAGAAAGTCAGTGTTTCCTTGCTTGGACCTTTTGCAGAATACAAGTGCAGGCTATTGGGCTTGATTATACTTGCAAACTTGGTTCACATAAGCAATGAAAATTTGTCCATAAGGACTACCTTAGTTTTATTTAGTAGTCCAAAGATATGAAATTGCAGACAAATATGAAAAAGTTTAAGAAACACAAGTATAGAAAACTAGTTTTATGTACGGGGTGAATATCAGTTATTGTACCTATTTATGTAAAAACAAAACAATATTTCAATATTAAAATGTTATACATAAAATATTATACATACTATACCTTAAGTTCTTAATTTAAAACATTCTAAAGGCTAGATAGTTTTTAAAATCTTGATTTTTTTAACAATATATATTATTGACATTTTTTTAACAACACATTAAATAATAAACTATTTTTTGAAAAATCATATACACCATATCAAATGGTAGCAGTTAATTCTAAAAAGAACAAAATTAATAGTTCAATTTTAATCCATACTGGTATTTGACAAGATTGTAATCACTGCAGTGACAAAAATACAAAATTTCGCCATAAATATAATCTGCTGTTTTGATACCTGTGTATGACATTTTACTATACAGCCTTTAAAATAAATATATATAAATATCAATTTAAATTTTTTTAAAAAATAGATTAATTTGCAAAATTTTTTACCATCTGAATCCTCCTCTTGATAATCATCATATGCAATATCAATTTCTCGTTTCAGTCTCTTAAGACCTCGTTTTTGAGTCAATTTTTCCTCATCCTGAATAATGTAATCTTCTACATATGACATTGAGCTCTTTAAGCCAACTTGTTCTGACACCAGGTCAGTATCGGCCATGGATTCTCCCTCACGTATACATGCCAAGTTCATAGGCTCTTGACTTGATTCAACACCAGAATCGCTAGTAACATTGCAATCTGTATTGGTTTGCTCAGAGCTTTCAGACGATGCCGTTGAAGCGCTTTCAACAACATTATCACTATGTTCTCTCTGGCTGTTAGTTGGTGACCGATTTTCTTGCCATTTATTCAGGTGTAGAATCCCTTCCTCAGATCTGTAGTTGCCATCTGAACAATTATCTTGTTCGGTACCAAATTCTCCAGACATAGTCCTTAAATCTAATACCGAATTGCCGTCATTACTCTCTTCAATGGTATCACCCATAGATGATGTAGGTGTCTGTTCAGATGTTTCATCACGCATTGAAGAGGTGCAATCTAAAAAATTAATAGGATTATCGCTACTCATGGAATGAGAAATAAGTTCCTCATTGCTATCCACTTGTTCCTGCACTACGGCTCTAACAGCCGCTGAAAGATTCACCGGATCAGGCCAAGGTGATTCACAAGATTCCCCACCAGATGATAGCATGGTACTGCTATTTTCACCTTCAAATTTTGACTTTGCATCATCTAAACAGTTATCTTGCATGTTAATTTTTGCATTTTGACTATTGTCTAAGATATTACAATTATTCACCGGGTTAGTAGATGTTACAGTTTGAACAGCAGCATTTTGTTCTGTACAACTGCTTTGCACACCTATACTTCTTGCTTTTTGGTTTGATTCAGTAAAGAAATCCACTTTTGCAGTCAACATTTCCTCTTTACTATCAAGCATGGAAATATTAGCTGTAGATGTTGAAGATTTAAATGCGGGCACAGATGTTGAGTTTTGATAAGACGCTGCTGCTGTTGAAGTAAGCACATTTCCTGATCTACAAGTTTTGACGTTACTGATATTTGTCGTAGATGACAATGACTGCGCTATTGGGGGCAACGACTGAGAAAAAACCGACTGAAATGGAGCTGGAACAGACATAGTTTCTGTCACTGTATGTGATTGAGATGAAACAAGAACATCAGTTCCTCCCACATGAGTATTAAGCACTGGATTGGCAGCAACCATATTAGGAACAATTGAACCAGTTGCAAAGGCACTGTGCATCTGTGTAGGATGAACATTCATTGAAGAAGTATCATTCACTACAACAGACTGTTCCTGAGGAAGTGCAGCATGAGGCAAAACAGTTAAAGACTGAAAATGGGGTCCTGGGACAACTTGTTGTACAGGGATGTTTTGTATAACAGCTCCAGTTGGTGTTACACCAAGCATACTTAAAGGTTGAACAATACCAAGAGGACTTGTAAGACCAGTAGTTAAAATTTGAGGACCACCAACTGAACCTATACTATTGTAATTCATTACTGGTTGTTGTAAAAGGGGCCTCGGTTGTTGAGGTAGGACGGTAAGTGTCTGTAGCACAGGTGGTTGCAGGAACTGTTGTTGAAGATTAGACATTTGTGTGTTTTGTTGTTGCTGGATATGTTGAGTTTGGGTAGGATGCTGCTGCTGCTGTTGCTGAACAACAGAATTTGAATTTCCTGTATTATTTGAAGAGTTGTGAGCACCATGTTGCAGCATGGATGCCACTGTTTGGCTATTAGCTTTACGTTTACCATCCCGGCTTCTTTTCCTGATGGCAGGAGATAAAGCACGCAAAGCCATATTGTGGGTATCACTGCTAGAGGATATTGGGGTGGAACTACAACTAGATACTGGTGTACTGCAAGAGGAATTAGATCCTGGTGTACTCCTAGTGTCATGCATGTTTTCAAATGTCAAGCGCATATCTTCACTGTGATTCATAGGATGAGGCTGTCTTAAAGTTGGTACATTAGTAGCAGGAGAAGGAACACAATTCATAGTATTAGGGGGAAATACAACACCATTAAAAACTGTAGGTGTAGGTGTTCCAACAACAGGTGATGTCTGTAAAGTGTCTAAACGAACAGTTTGAGGCAAAACATTAGAGCCCCCATTAACAATTACAGCATTCTGCATTGAATTAAATGGTACTGTATTAATCACCTGAACCATAGGTTGAACAGGCTGTCCCAAAATTTGTGGAGCAATGCCAATAGCAGGAATCATTTGCGTCATTGTGGTGGTCACAGCTGTTACATTAGGGATTGATAAAGGTGGCATTGGAGAATTTAGTGCACATTGGCCCCCTACAATAGGTATCACATTTGTCATACGAGACAGATTTGAAGCTGACATAGCTTGTGCTGGTACACAATTTGCATTGTCTCCATTTATGAGTACTTGGCCACAATTTGAAAACATAGTTTGGCCCGATATGTTAGAAGGCACTGAACTTGACCTAGAAGTTGAAACATTGCTTAAGAAAGGCCCAGCAGCATGGTTCATTCCGTCGCCAACATTATTTCGAACATCTTGTTTTTGTAACCAGTTATCTTGTATAATATCAGTAGAACTATCAGCTCTGTGTTCAGAAAATCTTTGAGTTGGTTGAAGTGTAGATAAATTAGTTCCAACGGACTGATCTTTGCCATTCTGCAAATTTAATTCATTAGTGACATGTTGAGAAGATAATTCATTTCGATCTTGTGCCTTGTGTAACATTGGTGCAGTAATCATTGTCGTGCTAGTCAAGTTATTTTGTGGGGCATTATAACTACCAAGACCATTGGAAAAAGTTGACACATTAGTTGGGCATGGCACTTGACAATTAACAATATTGTTATTAGGGGGTCTAGTAACAAACGTTGGTTGGTTACTCATTATAAAGCAATTATTTTGCAATATCTGCTGCTGTTGATTTACAATATTTGGCCTGATGTTATCAGACAAAACCATTTGCTGCCCCATTTGTTGTGCAGGTGCTGTCAAGACTTGGGTGCCATTCATCATAGCTGTACTAGTCATAGTGGGTGGTAGCATAGTTATGAGCCCACCTGGACCAGACATCCTCATCTGTGTGGGTGCCAGGACTAATTGCTGAGAATTGACATTATTAGGAGCTGAAGCAGGTAAAACCATCCCACTAACTTGCTGCATAACTTGTGCTCTAGTTGCAGAAGAAAACATATTTCCTGAAAAATCTGAGGTTATTTTCTGGCTTAGCACTTGTTGTACTAACATACCAGAACCATCTTGCTGGACCATTGGAGGTCGCAATCCAGAAACCCCATCTAAATTGGTGGTAGGGGCATTTTGCATAAAAAAGTTGGTAGTCAAATCTGGTCGTTGATTTCCACTGTTTGGTAAAGTTTGATTATAAACTATTGGTTGCTGAGACATATTAATATTTTGCCTGATTTGGGAAGAATTTGAAAATACATTTTGAGTAGAATAGAGGGTATTTATATTACTTTGAGACGTTGCACTCATGGGAATGTTAATAATATTGGAGTTAGAAGAAACATAAATTGAATTTGGTAACACATTCATACTATTTGGAATAGAACAACACAAAGAGACAGAAGTAACAGAAGAAGTGGGTGAACATGCATTGCTAGTTTTACTAGTAATCATTTGAATTGCAGTTGAAGATGCCACGTCAGTTAACTTATTTTCTCCAACTGATGAAAGTCTAATAGAACTGCAAGGACTTCCATTGGCTGATGAAGCTCGTTCAAGAATTGGAGTTTGCCGATTTTCATAAACATTATCAATTGAATTTGATGAACTTGAATTAGGATATGCCCAGTTAGTTGTACTAACAACTGGTGATGAAATATTAGGACTTTGCTGATTAGCAATGGTTGCTTTAGAATGAGAATTCGTTTTGCCCTTATTCCTGTTATCAAACTGTGCAAAAGAATTTGGAGGATATTGGGTTGCATCTTGAAACTGAAATGTGTTCTGGAAACTTTTATTCTGAGAAGGTTGAAATTGCACATTACTGCTAACCATATTGGGCTCAGGTGTTTTAGAAGCATCATAAAAATTACCGATTTGATTTCTAGACCTGCAAGGTATATTTTGGTTAATAACAGGTTTGTTAATGTATGAAATATTCATATCAGTCGAAAAGGGGACTTGATTATAAACAACTTGCTGACTTTGTGCAGGCCCCACAGAAGAGCTAGTAATGGCAGCATAAGTTCCAGGTGGTGGACGGTGGTGTTCAGAAGGAATTTGGCGGACATCAATATTTGGACAAGGGGATCCACGATCTAGTACAGAATTCATTTTGTTTATTTTCATTTTAGAACTTTTCTTAGATTTTGTACGTGAAACTACTACTGTGTCCTCTTTGGAAGGCGTGAATCTAGCAGAATTTGTCGGTACTGAAGATGTGGGATGCTGCATTTCTTGTGGGGGAGTGCTAAAGCTTTGAACACAGCCAGTGTTCATAATATTTGAAATGTTATTAATATGAGGAGAAAGTTGGTTTTGAACATCAGATGGGAAAAGAAAGGTACCAGTGTTTGGCGACTGGGATACAGTAACAACGTCTGCTGAGGATTGATTGGGAGGATTCATTGTAATGCACTGATTTACAGGAAGTTGAGCATTAAAAATCTGATTATTAGCAGTAGTTGAGGAAAAATTGCAATTCAACGCTATGTTAGCAGGAATATTATTTTGCAGAAATTGTTGAGGGTTAAATATATTTTGATGTATGGATGATCCAATTGGTTCAATAGGTGGTAGTGAAGACATCCTATCAGCATAAACAGATTCAGAAGGACGAACAGTACTCTGTTCCTGAACTACACAGGGCATAGAAGGATTATTTTTAGGAAACATAATAGCATTGTTGTCGGTAGAACATGGCTGAAATGATTGAATGCATCCTTGTAATTTTTTATCTTGAAATATATTTTCAGGGATGAAATTGTGTTGATTTATTAATTGAGGACCATAATTGGAAGCATTATTCAGTTTGTTAAAAACTGACATATTCTGTTCTTCTAAAATGAATCCCATTGGCTTAGAATTATTTCTTTGATCAATCATTGGAGATTTAGCAGGAACCACATTCTGAGAATCAGTTTTATAAGATTGTCCGCTTTGAAATTTTAAATTGCTTTCACTATAAGATTTTGAATCTTCAATTTTTTCTTTCTTTTGTCCTAATTTATCTCTCTGGGCTAACAGCTGGGATACAAGAACACTCTCAAAAGGACTTCTACTTTTACCTTTAACACGCTTTTTCTTATTGGTGACACAAACTTCTGCAATAAAAAAAGCACATTAAATAAGCATATTAGAAACTTAACACAAATTTAGATATTCATTACTTAATTCAACACTACTAACTATAAAATCTAACTAATAATATTGTTCAGAGATGGTAAAATTAACTAATGAAAGCAAAACATCCATATGATGTAATTAATACACATAAGATATGTATCTAAAAAAAAAATTATAAGTACAATGCAGAAAAAAAAACACTAAAAAACTCCCAGCAAAAAATACATTTTAGTAAATATTCATTATTTTTTATTATTTTATTTAATAATAGTAGACAGATGTTGAATTGTAAGGTATATAATTTTTCCATCATTTTAAAGAGTGTAATTTTACATGGCAAAATACAAAATTTAAGCAAAATAGTGTAAAATTTTTACTCAGAAATCAAATTTAAAATTTACAACTTGATTGATAGAAAGAAAAAACATTAGGAAAAAGCTACAGCTGTTCAGCTTGTGTCATATTTTGCAAGGTAATAACGAACTTGAAAGCTGCAGCCAGTTATATAAGCAAATACGTGAATCTACAGCAGTGTTCTGTTCAGCGACCGACAGATATGACTAGATGAAATACTAAAGAAGGAACCCATGGTACTATTCTGCAGATTTAGATAAAATTAAAAAACTTTCTGCAAACACAAAATCTAATTTTAAAAAATTTCTGCAAGCAACAGAGTAACTCTTGTAATTCGTTTCAACCACCTCATTTTGGCAAAATAAATAAATTTTAAAGTCACAGATTTTTTTAAAATGTTCTAATTTTTATGCAACTCTAAATTTATTAATACCAAACCACAGGGATGAGTTTGGTAAAAAAGTAGAAAAAGAAAAAAGAAAATTTTAAAAAAACCTGAAAATAGAATTCCAAAATTTTATGAGCAAAAACACTTTTCAAATAATTGAAAAAATACTTGAAATTTGCTATTTGAGCAAAAAGAATGCAAAAAGCATTTATTGACAGCATGTTATCAACGCTTTAATAAAAATATCTATGTGAAATTTTATTTATTCATTCATTCATTTACATTGTATGAATACAAAACCTGAAAGACAAATGCAAGGACATAATCACAGGCCTGATGCTCTCTGCCTCTACTCAAAGCAGAGAAAAAAATTCTTACATCAATCTCTGCCAGATTGACCTACGTGTTAGGATAAGAGAATTTTGACTCTTTTTTTTCTTTTTTAATAATACTAAAAAAAAATTCTGCGAACAATGTTTGCACATTATATATACCCTGGGCTAAAGAGAAGAAAGAAGGGCTAGTTCATTCCTCTCTTAGAGCTGAAGCTATGATTTCCCTTCTCATGACGTCACGCAGCACACAGATCTCGGAGATCGCAAGCAAAGATATTATTAAAACTTTGCATCATTCTCTCTGTTAAAATAAGCTCGATTTCTTGATATCAGATTTGAAACTTCACATAATTAACACATTATTTCCGTTAAAAAACATAGTTCAAAAAAAATTTCTTGGCCATAATATTAAAATAAATATCATTTTAAACTAATAAAATTTTTTTACTAGTTGTCGAAAATAACGCTAGAAATACTTTATCTTAAAATTTTCTGTTTTAACTTTAATTATTACAAAAATTAAAGCATATATCGACACTTTTTTAGCTATTTAATGTTCGATAACAATAATTCGTAGGATTAAATTTAGAGTCCTGATTTTTAAAATAATGCCGTTAATGGGAATTTGTTTATACTTCATTAGGAAACAACAGCCTTAAACGATAATTACTGAAACAAAATAATAATTTAGGTTCATAATAATATTAGAAATTTAACAATTGTTTATAGATATTTAAATTTAAGAGAATATAATTTTAAAAAATCATAAATATTTAAAATAACTGCATTAAAAACTATACTATGAAATTAGGAGAATTTTAGCTATTAATTATTTATACTTTTCATTTCAGTTTTTATTTTCTTTGACTTAATCCATTTAATTTTCTTGCCTGTCTTTCTTGAAGTAATGGGGAGGTTTCTATTTAGATAGCGAATTCTTAGAAAAGTTCTTAAGTTTTAAGCATATTGCTGTTTTATTCACTGCGGGATATCGTCACTCTAATTCATTAATAAGTTCTTTGATGACACTTTTTTGATTTTCTATACGATGTCCGATGCACACTTTCAAAAATGTTCTCAAATTCCTTACATCCATGTCGCTAACAGAACAAATAATCTTCCCTTAAATAAGAGATTTATCCATTTCGTGTTGCTTCCCTGTTGTTGGGTGAACTGAGAAGATGGTATTCCTTATTTTGAATTAATATTTGTAAGGCGAAATGCTATGTAACCAGCAATTTTATTTCTCTGGTATCTTCTTAATACTTCTTTAACAATTCCAGAGTTGATAAAAGTTCCATTATCTAAAATTATTCCAGAGTCCAATAAATGATTCTGCAGAAACTTCACATACTGACGCATATCAGCAAAAACAAAAAATCTTAACAATGGTCTGATAGGATTCAAAAAATAAACTGATTCAATTGTTATTTGGAGATTCTTCCAATGTGTCCCACATCCTCCTTAATCAGAAACAATTGATTTTATATCGATTTCAATTATTTCCAAGCTTTCTATGACTTTGAAAAGTTAATATTTTACATTGCGTTAAAATTTAAATTTTTGTAATTCACTTCAAAAAACTGAGGAAAAACATTATAGAAAACAAAGAATGTGTTGGAATATGTCACAAAAAGGAATGCTCCAATATTAGTAAGAGATAATTAGTCCGAAAGCTCCGTTCCGACTGAGACAGTGACGATGAATACTGAAATTGATTGGTACTTTTTTTTCTTCTATTTTTATTACAGATCAGCATTTTAATGGAGTATTCCTGATAGGCTATTCTTTTATTGTCACTTTTTCCCAGTACAATTAAATAGAAAACTTTGATTTTCATTGTTAAAGTTTTGTTTAAATCCTTTTAAATTTCTTTCATCTTTCATACTCATCTTTTAAAATTTTCTTTCTATCAGCATTTTTATTATGACACATCATTTTTTAAAGAGCATTTTTAACTTTATTTCCTCAACATCATTTTTCTCTAAAAAAATACAACAATGTGAATTAATAGATTTTCAGTGTAATTTTTTTTTAATTAAAAAAGACTTGTGACATTATTTACTTTTTAACCAAAACTCTTGTTTTCATAGAAATTTTAATTATGATGCAACAATTTTTAAGAGTGTTTCTGTAAGATTTCCTTTTTTACACTTTTACTTTAAAATATGATAATAGGAAAACTGAGATGTACAGACATGAGATTTTCTTTAGAGAATTAAGATCAATTTTCATTTTTTCTGTTTTGCTTTTGCATTACTATCTTTTTTTGAAGGCAATTTTATAATAACAAGGCATTCATTCTTAAAAGCGTTTCTGATAGACTATATATATTTCTTTAAAGTTGCTTTAAGGATAAAGTTGCTTTTTTCCGAAAAATATTATTTATTATTAGCATTAAAGTTTTGTTTTAAAAGTTAAGAAGATTTTTCTTTTTATTTCTCCTTTTATTTATTGTTTAAAACAAAAACTTGAATATGCTGATTTAAAAACTTGCACAGCATGTTTAAATGCGGAGAGTAGATATAAAATTCCATTTGTAAAGGGTTGCCGTAAAAAAATTTCTTGTAATGTTGAAAAATAATATTGGTGTTAAATCTATTTATCACTCAGTTGCGATGCAAAATAAGAAATAAATCTGCTCAACGAATTTTGAAAATCGCCCCGCCCTACTGATCGCTGTACTCAGTATTAATTGAAATATTATCATCAGGCGGAATGAATTGTCAATCAGAAATTCCGACCACTATTGAGCACTTAAATTTTAATCGGAGCTCTATTCATGATTGAAATGCATTACAATTATCTCCTAGGGCCGAAGACTCCCCGTGTAGTAAATGGTGACTGATGCACATTAAATCTGTCGAGTCTCAAAGTCCTCCATGTTCCCACAACAAATCAATACCTCTGGGGGTACTGATCCAGGAGTTTCCTTGTCTTCTGGATTGGTTCAAAATTACAAGGCTACGGAGTTGAACGTAAGTAGTCGTAAACCCATGAAATTGGGTCGGCTGTTCAACGACGGTTATAAAATAAAATAAAATAAAATTATCTCCTAGGTGGTGCAAGCAAAATTTATCGCCAAGCGAAATTTTGCCAATTATCTAACATAAATTAACAATATTTTCAATTTCTGCAATCACAGATGATTCTTTTAAAATTTGATTTAAATATTATTTGATGAATTGATATTTGGTTTGATTGAAAATTACTTTAAAATTGTTAATATTTTTTAAATTATGTTTCTCATTTCTTATTTTCCAAAAAAAAAACACCTCCAGCTTCTTTTTTTTTAATCGATCATTTAGTCTAGTTAGGAAAACAAAATATGCACTTTTTTTTCTTTGTCATACACCTATTATACGTCATATATACGTTTATTACCATTTACAATTTGATTTTATTTATTTATTTTACTTAAAATTTGAACTAAATAACTACATTATACAATAATGACTCAATTTACTTATATATAAAAAATAATACTCAAAGATTTTTTAAAAAATTTTGCTATATGGCCTCGAATATTCAGTTAATTTTTGGTTGAATAGTCAGTTGTCGATAATGTTCTAGAAATCACTACTCATTTCATCCTTAAAAAATTCTCGACTATTCTCTGATATTTTTCAAATTGATTTTATCAAATTTTCTCCAACTGATGAAACCAGTGCATAAATTTTATTATTAATTTTGTAGTTATGCCTACTTAAATTATGTTCTTATACATAAATCATTAAGTTTATAATTTTGGTTATGTTCCATAAATAGTAAGAGTAACTAAACGACAAACAAGAACAACTTTAGCTTGATGAGTATCAATTTATCTTTAACAGCTCCTGCTATAAAGAAACGAAGGAAGACTCCTGCTATAAGGAAGTTTTTGCTATTCATTTAATGTAAGTTATTACTTACAACATTATGACGTTTTTTTTTCAATGTCAGGCTTTATTTTAATAATATGTTGCAAAACTGATGAATAAAAAAGTTTATATAAGGAAAAATAGGCACTTTCTAAGGATTGCTGACAGAAAACAAGTACTACGAAAGTACTACAAGTACTTTATGGATGACCCTGTTTATGACTATCTTAATTAATGCAAGAAAAATATAAATTATCATTATCTATAATAATGTTCCTTTTATATTTAATTCAAAAGATATTAAAAAAGAGAACAATATTAATAAGGATACAAGATAATGTCTTAAAAAAAAAAAGANAAAAGAGAACAATATTAATAAGGATACAAGATAAAGTCCAAAAAAAAAAAGAAGAAAAAAAAAAAAGAATGTGAACTTAAACTTGAAAAAAAAAAAAAGATATTTAAATTAAATTACAGCACAAAAATATTTCACCCAACTGTAAAACCTAGTAACTAAACCTTACCCTTCTTAGAAGTAGATTGAGTCAATAAAGAATTAAACTCTCCTCCTCCAACAGGACCAAAGGTAGAAAGTGGGCCAGCAATATTTTGAAAAGTAGCCATTGCAGCAATCTTTCGTTTATGGTTGCAAAGTTTTGTGGGATCATTCCATGAGAGGTCATTGACATTCAAACATTTAGTAGTTGCCATAGGGTTAAAATTAAATACTTTGTTGATCATCAAAGGACATTCTAGGCCACACTTGCAAGTGCCTTCAGTCTGGAGATAAATAGCAATTTCTTGAAGAGACTGAAGATAAACTTCACTCGGGCTAAAACAATAAAAACAAAACACACATTTTCATAAGACTTCTACAAAAAAAAACAGTTATTCAAAACACAATTTAAATAAACAGGAAAGAAAATGTATTTCTATATATCCTATTTTATTCAACAATCAAGTCTAAAATTGAATTTTAATGAAAACACTTAATTAAACACACAATATCCTACTTAATCATTTCAAGGGCAGCGAGATAAAAAACTGCACTGCTTATTTTTGACATTAATATAAATCACTTAACTTGTAATAATTTTTATTGCTTAAACTTTTGGTGGCTTTTAATCAATCACTCTTTATTTTGAAAAATGTAAAGATAAAGCAAATAGATTCATTCTGGATATGCATACAATGACCACAATCCTTTTGGCTTTTCTTGACTAAGTTTTTTGATTAAAGTTTTCTCAATAACAAAGGGTTAAAGAATCACTGGTTGGAAAAGATTTGATCTCTCTCTCTCTCATTGAAATATTTACAATTAAAATTAGACCCACTATAAGTATTATATAATATTAGCTGGAAATTTTAATAAATTTTAGAATTAATAAATACTTCACCAAAAGTTATATCTTAAATAATGCAAACAAATATAATACTTTACCTGATGTATATGACTTTTCCGCTGGATATTACACGTTTCCATCCAAAAGGCACAGTTACAAACGCTTCACTGTGCTGAGAAGCAACTAGTGGATGTGATGAGGTCACCTCTGAGGGATATTTTGGACCACCAGGATACATCTTGCTGCTATGGGGTATACCGTCCATCAGGCCAACAGAAGAGGAAACACACTGTGTATCACTGAATTTGTTATTGCCATCCTGACTAGGCTCAACACCTACTGTCATTGGAGCGCACATACTGCTGACAGGAAGATGGTAAACTGGGGAAGGTTTCGACGTTATTGAAGAAAAAACAACATTGTTTTGTTCATTAGAAGAGATTGAGGAGGAAGGTAGCGACTTAACGACACCCCTGGCATCGAAAGGACTTGCAACCACAAGACCTTCTGACATACAGGGAGCTTGAAAAGAAGCATTCAAAACTATGGTGTCTGTCCTGGCATCCTGATTAAAGGATGCCATCTTTAGCCTCCTACGAAGCTGTGCACCTTGCCACCTCCTTTAAGTGGCATTAGAGTTCCAGGCATCCGAGCATGCATTGCTCTTCATTGGTTCCACTTGCTGATTAAGTCACACAAGTGATATTCTCAATGAAGCAAATGCAATTTTCATCTAAAATAAAATAAAATATTAATTATAATAACTATTCAACATTAATTTAAAGCACAACTTCAAAATGCTTAAACACAGAGTTTCATTAAGATAAGAAATAATGATGTGCAAAGCAAACAAACTGATATGATTTAAACAGGGTTGGCAGGTTTTTGACATGTGACAGTTTTTGACAGTTTAAACCATGGTTTAAACCGTCACGTCAAAAACCTCACTGTCAAAAATGTCGAAAATGTCAAAAACCTATATTCATATGTGAAATTTAATTAATACATAAAATTTATATATTTTTTATAAAGGATAGTGTTTCNAGCCTCCTACGAAGCTGTGCACCTTGCCACCTCCTTTAAGTGGCATTAGAGTTCCAGGCATCCGAGCATGCATTGCTCTTCATTGGTTCCACTTGCTGATTAAGTCACACAAGTGATATTCTCAATGAAGCAAATGCAATTTTCATCTAAAATAAAATAAAATATTAATTATAATAACTATTCAACATTAATTTAAAACACAACTTCAAAATGCTTAAACACAGAGTTTTATTAAGATAAGAAATAATGATGCGCAAAGAAAACAAACTGATACGATTTAAATACATAACTATTAAATAAAATAATTTTAAAATAAATTCCTTAAGAGTTCCCATTATTATCACAGCTGCTCTAGTATACTGACACTATCGTCGAATAATGACACAATTTTTTCAAAAGTTTCGAAGCTAGGAATGTTTATAGAATATTTCATGTAATATTTTGATAGCTTCATTTTAAAACCACTCAAGTTTTTAATTTCATTATTAACTAAGCATAATGCAATATTTTTTTTTTCATTTATCAGCGAATTTCAAAATAAATTGAATACACATGAATTAATTGCTAAATCATATCTGGTTCCAAGAGTTAAAAACCAATACAAACATTTTAATTTTAATTTAAATATAAATTTCTAATATTTTTTTATTATAAGTTACAATTGTGCATAACTTAAAAGAGAATTTTATATAATAATAATCTGAAAAAGAACATTTATAGAATAAATGAGCAAGCCAAGCTCCAGCTCATTATTAGGTCAGGCACAAAGCTTCAGTAAAATGACGACCTGTGATTTAAAATTTCAGTAATCACTTCTTAAAGGTATTTACTACCTGATAAAAATTAAATAAATTGATAAATTTTTGATTTGAGTTTCTTTAAAGCATTTTGATTTGAATTTTTATTCTTTATCCTGAGCTTATGTAGTCTTTAATTTTTATAGGTTGTATTTAATATTTCATACCAAGAATAATATAAATAAATGAAAATTTAATCAAGATAACACTTTTTTTCATGTGAATTACATATAACCCTGCACAACACTTTAACAAATCCTCTAACTGAAGTTACATATAAGAGAGTGTTTTCCAAACAAAAATATATAAAGTCTGATCTTCGTGGGCGATTAATATTTAGAAATGTTTGCTACGATGGCTATCAAGAGAGGCAAATTAAATTGAAATTAAAAGTGACATTGGTGAGAATTCAGTTAGGAGATGAGATATCTTTTAACTTTTTAAGGCAGCAATCTTAGTTCTTTGGAAATACTATTTAAGTCTGAAAAACTTTATTTCTTAAATATAAATATTACAATAATAATATTTTTCATTCCTTTGTCCTAATAAAGAATTTAGAAAGATTTACTAAAGATTTTACTGACTCTTATGCTTGTTAGTAAATATAATTTATAGGTGTATATGGAGAGAAAAAATTTTCTAATTTAATGTTTCAATACTTTTTTAGATTTGATTAGTGTTTCTCAATATTTTAAAACATTATCTAAATTATGCACTTTGTTAGTTACAATTTTTAATTTCAATATTTAAATCTATAATTTATTTATTTGTATTTAGTTTCTTTCGAAAATTTACAAATTCGAAACAATTAAAAGTTGCATAACTACTAGAGTAGAGATGCACAACCTGCGGCCCACCAACTCCAGATGTGCGGCTCGTCGCAGCAATCTGAACAAAATAAAAAATAATAATTCTAAAAATAATTTTAAATAAAAAATTTAAGTTACTGACGCATCCAATCTGAATCAACGTAGTTTGTTAATTGCTTTTTCTCGATGGTTAATGCTACTGATTTATGCATAGTTTTGAAAATCTCCGTATTTTTAATGCAACATTATTACGATACACAAATTTTGAATTTTTGTTATAACTTTTGACGCTCTTCAGGTGCGCCGACTTCACCGTAAATCCAATGACTTTTCAGTAGCTATTGCTACCCATTTTCACATAATTTCTGAAATCGCGATTTTTTAAATTATGTTTTAACGCCTTGAAAGTTATGAAACGCTTTATTTGCGCAAATTTCGTAGCAAATCTAAATTACTTATCACACCACATTTTAGCAGGGTTTTTAAAATTTAGATATTTTTAACACAATAATAATATTATTATGAATCGCTCATTTAAATAACCATTTTTGACAAGGTTCATTTGTGTCGATTTTGTAGCAAATTCAATTATTTTTCAATTGTTATTTTGGCAATTATTGTTTTTCTACAAGGTTTTGAAAGCCCTGATATTTTTTATACGCTCTAGCTACAGTTGCGAATCCTGCACTTAAAAACATTGTTTTTTGACGTGCTTTATTTATGCCGATTTCAACGTAAATATAAAGGGATTTTGATAGTTTTTTGGTAGATATGACAGTACTTTTCCCTGTGATTTAAAAAAATCAGATATTTTTAATACTTTAGTTTGACAGCACATGAGTGTGAGTTTTGAATAGTGTAGTAAAATAATTACTTTTTATGTGTTTTATTTGAGCTAATTTTAACATAAACATAGGTTTTTTTAAACTTTTTTTTCCAATAATTGTTGAACTTTTACTTGTGATTTTGAGTATGTTGATATTTTAACACAATAATGAAAAAATGAATTCGATTCTGTTTTAAATTTTTTTGTAACTTAAAAAGCTATTACATATCTTAGCAAAATTGACTCCTTCCCAGAGAGAATAAAAAATTTAAAAAACGAGGTGTGTAAATTTATATTAAACACTGTCCCTTTAATAATTCAATACACGTGCATATTTTTTTATTCCCCGTGAACCAGGGTTGGGGTTTTGGACATCCTAAACTGGTTTTGGACAGGACACGTGGGTTTTACTGTCTTAAACTGGGTTTTACTGTCCTAAACTGGGTAAAACTGTCCTAAACAGGGTAACACTGTCCTAAACTGTCTTAAAGTGTCCAAAACCTTGAACTTTGGTAAAAGGTAAAAAATCTATAGGTGTAACCTTTGTACACATAATAATTACATGTATCAATAAATATTTGATATTTTTTATACAATTTAATATAACTTATTAAAAGAAAATAATATAATATAATAGGAAAAGGTTTAAAATTTTTGAAGCTCCACAATTCAGTGAACAACAAAAGTGAATGCCTAATCTTTTAAATATAAATATGCTTTTAATACTGATAAATAATATTTTTGCATAAGGATAAATATGGCAATATTAAAAAATAATAATTTTTCTTAAAAAAAATTACTAAATTTGTTCAAAAATTAACCTTTTATTTTTCACAATATTTTTTTTATAAAATTTTATTTATAATTTCTGCATCACAGGATGATAAAAAAGACATCCATTTAAAAAAAATTGTCTTTAAATATAAATATATTAGTTTAAATTGAAAATACAAAATAACTGAAAAATGTATTAACAGTTTTGAAGGGCATAACATCAGTTTCAGTTACTGACACTGGTGATGTATNTTAAAAAATTTTATAATTTCTGCATCACAGGATGATAAAAAAGACATCCATTTTAAAAAAAATTGTCTTTAAATATAAATATATTAGTTTAAATTGAAAATACAATATAACTGAAAAATGTATTAACAGTTTTGAAGGGCATAACATTCAGTTACTGACACTGGTGGTGTATCACCCCTATGCTAAAAGAATTGAACATGAATGAAATAAAAGTATTCTTGAATATAGATAAATAAACATGTTTATGACGAACCAAGCACTTAATCCCTAATATTTTAAAATGCATGGCAAGGCCAAACTTCAGTTATGTACTATTGAATGAGAGGACCAATTGAACTTGATTACTGATTAATCTTCCTTTGTTTAAATTGAAGAGTCAAACAATATTAATAAAACATTATACTTTTCAAAACAAATATTCTCTAGTATATTTAATTATCAATATGTTATTAGTACTATGTTTAAGTTCCATGTTTATTTTATCTCTTAAATATTGCTCAGATAAAATTATGACATAATTTGAGTAAAAGGGTTTTGGACAGTTTAAGACAGTTTTGTACAAAGGGGTTTTGGACAGGACGGTTTAAACCGTGGTTTAATCCATTCTGTCCTAAACCTTGCCAACCCTGCCGTGAACATGTGGAGGTTTAACAACACATACCAAACACACTCTTTTTCGTTGTCACATGATTTAAAAATCATGTATCGCGATTCGTATTTTAGCGTTTTGATCCTCGCAATTTGAAAGTCACACTTTGTAATTTGTATTCACACGATTTAAGAATTGCAGATCACATTTTGTATTAACATTAACAAAATTAAAAATAATTCATTGCGATTTAAAAACCACATATCGTGATTCATATTCACATGTTTTAAAAATCATACGTTGTGAGTCTTCACTTCACAATCTAAAAACCACACATCCCTATTCATATTCACGCGATTTAAAAACTAAGCATTATGTTTTTTATTCACGAAATTTAAAAATCACGCATAGCAATTCGTTTTCAAGCAACTTAAAATTAACACATCGCTATTTGTATTCACGTGATTTAAAAATCAGGAAAAGAGCACCATCTGGGACAGATTCCAAAACTGATTAAGTTATTGGTTATTTTCCCTAAGTTCAATTGTGCCCACAACAACAGCTGCTGTCGAAAGACTGTTTTCCAGAATGAATTTGGCATGTTCAAAATTACAGAGCAGTTTTTAAACAAAATCAATAAATCTTCATTCAATGGCTCGCAAAAGCTATTGCATGATCAAGTAGACAAAATTATCACAATATTTAAAAATTTTGCAAATTGCAGGATTTTAAATTGCCATTAAGAAATGCAGGAATTGCCATTAAGAAATTTTTTAAACCATTTTCTACCTACTTTGAAAAATTTATATCATTTATGATTATATGCTGGGAAATGATTTGTATATCATTAAATTTTTACTGTAAAAAATGTAACGAAGATTAGTTTCGCAAAGTAATGTAACTTTTAATTAATTGTTAATATAGATGTGTATAAATTGTAAATAGTAAGTGCCATGTTAAAAAAGTATTGGTCATAAAAAGTTGTAAACAAGTATCTTAATAGTTTTTTTATTATTAAGGAAAATAGCTCCTTCAAAATTAAGGTTCTTTTCTCTCTCAGGCCCGCCTCTTATAATTTATTTAAAATAAATGTTTTAAAGTTAAAGTATATTCCCTTTTAAATATTGAATCTTATTTTGCGCTGAAGGGTGTTGCTTTAATTTTAATCATTTTTAATGCTATAAATTTTCTTTAAATCAAAGTGTTTAACTTGCATTTATTTTAATAACTAGAATATTTTTTCTTAAATTTAAGTTAATGAACAAACTTTTTAATGTTAAAATTTAGGTTTAAATGGACTTTCGTATTATGTAATATGATAAAAAAAACATGAATTTTCCNAGATAAACAAATTTGTGAAGGGTCTGATTAAAAGAAAAAACATTTTGTGAAGGGTCCTTTTTTAAGTTAAAATATTATGTGAACGGTCCGTTTTTAAGTTAAAATACTTTGTGAAGGGTCCGTTTTTATGAAAAGATATCTTGTGAAGGGTCCGTTAACGGACCCAAATTTCTTCTAAACAGACCCCTAATATATGTGTATAAATTGTAAATAGTAAGTGCTATGTTAAAAAAGTATTGGTCATAAAGAGTTGTAAACAAGTATTTAAATAGTTTTTTATTCTTAAGGAAAATAGTTCCTTCAAAATTAAGTTATTTTTTCTTCTCTCTAACATCTTCCCGCCTCTTATAATTTATTTAAAATAAATGTTTTAAAGTTGAAGTATATTCCCTACTGAATGTTGAATCTTATTTTGCGCTGAGGGGGGGGGGTTGTTTTAATTTTAATAATTTTTAACGCTAAAATTTCTTATAAATCAAAGTATTTAACTTGCATTTATTTTTATAACTAGAATAATTATCTATTTTTTTAAATTTAGGCTAATGAACAAATTTTTTAATGTTAAAATTTATGTTTAAATGGACTTTTGTATTATGTAACATGATTAAAAAAAAACATGAATTTTCACATTGTGTTTAATTACTTCAATTTATCTGAATCTTTTTTTTCTGATAAATTGATTCAAATTTTCATATTCTGTTTCTTTTCCTAAGTGATCAGTGTTGCAGTTACTAATTTCAAACATTTAAAGGTATTTAATTTTATGCAAATATATTTCAAGGTTAACTTATAAAAAGAGTTAAATGCCTAGAATTGCTCTCAACATGCCTGTCTAAATACTTTGGCAAGCGGCCCTTAATTGGTCAATCTGCTGTGCACCCCTATACTAGAAGAAGTCAAAATTAAATTTTCCAATTTATTATGTATAACATATAAATATACGGGGCGGCGCTAAGGATTTCAAATTATTAGCAAGTAAACTAGCAAAGTATCAAAAGACTTCACCAAATGCAAATCTTGACAATTTTTTATGATTAACTTTATCTCTTGCAAAAATATTTTACTGTAGTTTGTTTCAAGCTTATATTTTTTGGACCCTATTCTAATTGGTTATGTGGCGCTTATACGGTAAATTACTGTAATCGAATAAAAAATACTGATTTGTATAGAAAAATTCATTCTGAAGTAATTAAGAGGAATAAATTAAATACATTTTTTTCTTTACGGTAGAAAAAATGATTCACCGAAACAGAATTTTATTCGCATTTGGTAAGGTGGCGATTGCTTAAAGCAGGGGCTAATATACACATTAACATGCATAAATATATATGAATATGCGTATATATAAATATATATGCATAGATATACATATACTTCATATCACACGGCGCCTCTAAAAAAGTGTGCCCACCGCTCTGCAGAGTATCCTAGGCCATCTGTACTAAAATCTTCCCAGACTTTGCATTCAAGTATAGAAGTATTTACTTTATCGAATTACCAATAATTGATACAGACTGAATGCTTGATATTACAATGGCTTGAATGTCACAGTATTTTATTTACATGTCAGAGTATATTACAGTATTTAAAAGTTATAATTAAGTCATAAACATTTGTTTAACATTTAACCAATTTATGTATTGTTGTGTACAAACTTTTATGTACAAAAGATATTTATTCTTATTTTATTTTTTTAATCTTTCACTTGCACAATCAAAATTTTCACATGAAACGTTCAAAAAATATGAAATTTTAAACAAAAAATCCTTAATCCCTTTAACTTTTTCTAAAATTCCGGATTAAAAATAATTTTTGTGAATAATAATAGTTAATAACAAAATTATTTTTGAAAAAATGCTTCTTTACAAGCTTAATTTTTTTTTTTCAAATGTAAACTTTTTGAAGGGGTGCCAAAATTATATTGGCACTAATATGCTTCTAGCACATAGACCACTATTTACTGTCAGAATGTGTGACAAAAAGATTAGAAAAACTAAAATCCAAGATAAAATTGTATTAACGTATTACACTTAAACAATTAAGTATTCCAAAACTATGAATTAACTACGAATTTTTAATATAATCTGTATCACAATTCGCAATATGATAATGTGAAAATGTAGAATTGGATTTAATTCAGCATAAATACATAAGCATATAACTAAAAATAAAATAAATTTTAATAAAAATGATGGTAAATCAGTTTAAATTAATTATCAAGTGAAAGCTCAAAGGACTTTTAGTAAAATTAAATTTATACATAAATGAAACAAACTCTTGCCATTTAAAGTATAACTACATATTAAAATAATAATAATATGTTAACTAAAATTAAATAATATTCACAAATTTTACAATTTCAAAGCATTTTTAAAAATTATAGAAAAAAAAGAAACTAAACTTATACTAAATTTAATGCAATGTAATAAATTTAATTTTATATTAATTAAAGAGAAGATCTTCAAAATTAGAAAGTGTGAATATCACAATATCATTTATATTTTGAAATATCATGATCATGAACATGATTATTAACAAGATCAAAATGTAAACAAATACTTAATTCATAATTTTAATAGGATGCAAATTAATTTAGCAAAACTTTAGCTTCATTCATTTTTATAAATCTACCTTAAATACAATAATGAAAAAAAAATTTAACCTTTACCATGAATACAAAAGTTTATAAGCATCCATGAAAATGTCATACTTAATATCTATTTCATAGAGATGAGGTCAACTTATTTTCAAAAGAAATAGCAACGTTAAGAACAATGAATTGGAAAAAAAAAAATAACCTCAAATCTGACAATATAAAAAATATAATAAATAACATAGAAATGTAAATATACCCAATCATAAAGGTTAAAATGGACGGAGTAATTAGACCCAAACTGTAAACAAACACCATAATTCAACAAATAATAGAAATTAATCAAACAAACACATCGTATCAACATTCTACTAGAAAAAAGTACAAAATTTATCCCGATTTATATGAACCAGTTATGATGCGTAGCATTTTTGCGCTCAAGTCTAATGAAAAATAGGTTACGTGAGGGGGGGAAGGAAATCTGTTAATATTCAAAACAAATGCTTAAGTGAAGGAATGCTAAGATTTCATAGATTTCGAAACAAAAGAGGGCTTACCTGATGAAAGTAATAATCAATAAATACATGTAATGAAGATATAAACACAATCTCCATTGCTTTAGAGATGTCCATAGCCTTAGGCTTCGCGTACTTGTATCACTCGACCAATGACTATCGCACCTGTGACCCTCGGACGAGGAAGGTCAATTTGTTTGTATCATTATTGCACAATAGTAAATCACAACATTCAAAATCACCTTTCAATAAGCAAAGTATCACATAACAAATTTAAGTACTTCGTTACAATTCACAACATAGTAAATGATCGTATAATACTTCATTAACATATAATCAATTCAAAGCATTAGTAATTACACGAATAGCATAAATATGGCTGTTTTCTGTTTGTCAAATTCCCATAATCCTTTTCGTTTACTCTCGAACTAAAAGCGCAATCTAATAAAAAGATGTTACATAATTTTCGCAGTTGGAGCTCAGATTGATGTAAAGAGGATTGGTTTAGTTTCTGTTTCGGAAACTAGAACTTATTATGGAACTGAATCTAGTTTTTATTTTTATCTACTTTTCATACAACATCTTGAAGTTGTGATTTTATTAAAACTGTTTTTTCAGAAACTAAATTAATGATATATAGGCCTCATTTTTGAAGTACATATAAAATAATACAAAATTTACTTTAATTGTGAAATTAAGAAAATGTTATTTATTAAGTAATAATAGTATAAATACAGTGTATCAAAGAGATACAGTGACAAAAAGTACTTTATAAATGTGAAATTAAGAAAAGGGAAGTGAATTTAATAATTTTCGGATGTGTAATTGGACTTTCAAAAATTTTTAAACAAATTTTTTATTTCGATTTTTTTTTCTTATAAGACATACGATGTAGAATTCTGTTAATTTATTTCTAATTGATTTGTCATAATATTTAAAAAGTTAGAAATAATTAAGCAAAGCTTAAATGTCCAAAAATTTGCAGAAAATGCACATGCGTGGTTTTATATCCTAAATTACTTCATTCAAACGAAATGTTGAATAATATCTAGATATTTAAACATTCACCTGGAACCTATGAATATAAATTGGTAAAATATTTCAACAATTGAATTCAAAGAAATTTCGAAACTATATTTTCAGATGCAAAAGGCAAATTAGAGCATTTCATGATTCGCATATGCGATCGTTCATCAATGCGATTTACGCATGCAGTTCATCTTAATCATTAATTCATCTCGTCCATCTTTATTTTTTTTTCTTTTTGTTAAAAAAGATTGTTAAGAAATGATGAGGGTTCCTGTAAAATCTCTAATTAAAATTATGCTTCTCTTGGCAAAGATGCTTTTGCATTCAAACGGCTGAAACGCATGCGTTTTTACCGCTTTCGTTCGCTTTGGAAATAAACGCTTTAATCGATTAAATATTGAATTTAATCGTTTGAGAACTTACGTCACGGACACGAATACGGTCTACGTGTTCAATCAGTGTCAACAACGTCAGTTTCTCTCATCATTATACATTAATTCACGTGAAGTAGTATTAGTTTTTGAAATTTTCACTTGCTTTCTATCTTGTAAGTTACTTGTTAAATAATGTATTTTTTGTATCATAGAGATAATAGTAGTGTACATCATAAAAATTACGTTGTTGTATATTTTTAATGCCTTCCTGCAAGATTAGTGATAATTGCTTATACATAGTTTCAAACTTTTAAAAATAAATACTGTATGCATCTTATTTAAACAGTGAAGTGATGTCTATAAAATTTGAATTATTAATCGTTCGAAGATAAGCATATGTATAATTGTTTAACAATTAGCTCATTTCCTGTAAATGTATAATCAATAGTTCATCCAAAAATTTTAAATCACATAGGAAAGAAATTAAATTAAATGAATAGTTTGATTTATTTTATAGCGATTAAATGACAGTTCCATCTTTATTTTTTCTAATCAATAATAGAAAATTGAATTCCTGCAAAATATGAGATTTTTGATCCACATAGTTATTGAAGATTTATGGCTTATTGTACTGTTTGACTACACTGGTTACTATCGGATATGTTTTGAATTCCATTTAATTGTTATTTTACTCTTATACTTGAAATAATTTTTATATATATCATAAGCATTAAACTATTTTAGAAAACTTACTGCTCATGATATCTTGTTAAACATATAATTAAAATTAACAAATGAAAAGGGAAATGTGTTGTTTAAGCTTTTGAAGAATAACATTTTATTAGTTTTGGAACTGTAATCTTAAAAATAGTTTTGTCACAAATATAAACTATTTTTTAAAACTTTAAGAGACTGATCTGTAGATAAACTCTTTTTCACTAAGTTTGATCCTTGGATAAATGAAATAAAACTAATTCGCTGTTCAGTAACATCATTTCTCGCAAACACAATTACAAAAAAATTTAGTGACCAGCTTTTCTCGATGAATACCAAATATTCCTTTCATTAAAATAAGTCCATATTCAGGGGTCTTACTAGGTTAAATTTGCTATCGTATAACGGTAGTTTCACAAATTCAACTTTTGAAAATACGGTAGTTTCACAAAATACTTTTTCTGAAAACTTTATTTTTGTATCACCCGTAAGAAACGATAAATCCATATTTTTGCGTTGATTTATAAATATATTAAGTTTTTACAAATTATGCCTGAATTTTCTCAAATTATGTCTAAATGTTCACAAAATAGGTACTTCTCAGGAAAACCTAGACATACCCCTGATATTGTGACGCATTTGTTGTGTTCTAACAATGTAAGGAGAGAGAAAAAATTATTTTTTAAGCCTTTATTTTTTTTTTCCATAAGAGTACAAAATTGACAAAAATTACAATTTTACTGCAATCTGAATTTATCATTAAAAATCCGAATTTTTTTAAATATGCCAGACAAAATTTGCCGATTAACGGAAATCTATGACATTGCTATCTGCGACCTCCCATCCTGACACCTATGTATAGAACTCTACTAGTACAATATCGATTGTAGGGAATGGGCAGTATATGTATAAAAATGAATAAAGTCTTTTGTTATCACCTGAAATCTGTGATACAGATGATAACTATGATTTCAGATAGGTATTTAAAATGGAATTTGTATTTTTAAAGTAATACAAAACAAATGAAATAAAATAAAAATATGACCACCAAAGCCGACGTCTTCAGGGGGTACCGGCCCCGGTAGCCATTAAAAACAAAACCATTTCTATTTGAGGGAGAAGCAAAAGCTTAAAACATCTCCCTCAGTACCCCGATGGTTTTGCATAGAGGTCCAGGAAAAACAAGATACATTCAAAAGAATAAACAAATTACGAAAAGAAAATCAATAAAAATCATCAGAAAATTAAAAACTCACAGTCACAGGTCAAGAATCAACTTCAAAAGCGGAGGAAAAGAAAACACTAAAAACTGAAAAACAACGCCCCCTATAATAATGCGCAGTAAAAGTTTAAAAATGATATGAAAAGGTCAGGAGAAGGAGATACGTAGATAAATTAATAGAATGCTTAACTGGGGCTGCTCAGTTAAGACTAGAATTGCGCCCTGTTAAAAGAAAAAATATANCATCTCCAACAAATCAAGAAATTTTAGAAGCAGTGAAAGGTAAAAAAATAACTATACATAAATATATTTTTTTAAAGATAAAATGCCTATATCCTTCGAATTAAGTCGTCGATATAAAAAAACACTCGCAATCTAACGATAAATGAAATAAAGCCTGAAAGATATCTCACTATCTACGATTTTTTGGCATGCGAATGAAAACCAGATTGGTGGAAAATATTTTCTGGCGAATCACTTTCAGACAGGTTTCCATACGCATGCGAAAAAAATCGCATCCAAATACCGATGTTTCAGTACTGATGAAGACTATTTCGTTTCGAGATGTTGAATAGACTTGAGCGTATTGAGTCGGAAACCGCGTCTGAGTACTTCGTGTGGAATCAATGCTATATATTTACACAATACAGTGGGACTTCTGTTACAAATCACAAGCGCTGTATATTTTTTTCGTTCTGAACTTAATCTGGTCACGAAAAAAGTTTTATTTACCTTCTTGTTTTAAAAAAAAAAATATTTCAATAAGTCAGTACAATATTAATCGAATCTAATTAATCTGAAATTGTTTTCATATAGAAAAAAATTTAAACAAAGATTGCATTTATTTTTTTGCTTTTGAAATTCGGTTATAGTCAATTCTATTATTTTAATTTTGATTACTCAACTTTAATATTATTTTTTTCACCTGATTTGTTTCTGAACCTGATATAACAACTATAATGAAACATTAAATCCTACTGTTTTAAACTGACTTCAAATTCAGTTATCTTGTTTTATAAATTTAATATTTTTGTCCACTCTTAGCTATATTTAAATTCTATCTTATTACAGGTTCTGAGTAATCTTTATTTATGCTCTAATAAGCATTTTTGTCTGCAGATCTATACATTTATAATTTTTCTTTATTGTCGAAGATTATGCAAATTTAAACTTATATTATGAAATTAAGAAGAAAAAAATCTACAGTTTTACTCAATGCATGTAGGCTTTTTTTATAAACACGGAGTTCATCTATTATTATAAATTCATTACACATATATTTATAACAATAAAAATATCTTGCAGAAAGATATTGGTTCTAGTTAGGTTTGTCGCAGAAAGCCAGAAAAAATTCTGCCACAGGGATTGTAGGGAATGGGCAGTATATGTATAAAAATGAATCAAGTCTTGTTATCACCTGAAATCTGTGATACAGATGATAACTATAAATTCAGATAGGTTTTTAAAAAGGGAATTTGTATTTTTAAAGTAATTTATTTTGTTATTCCTATCATCACAAATATTTGTTTCCTGTTTAATTGAATAAAAAAAGTAAAACATTAAATGAAATTGTAGTTTTCAGTTTTATTTAACCAATCCATTAAACATTGATATATTTCCTGAAAGTTTTTTCATATATATTTCAAGGTAAAAATGGATCAAGTAATGTCTTTTATTGACCCTGGACGACAGTTCGCCAAAGACTCCCTGCGACTCGTAAAAAGATGTACAAAGCCTGACAGGAAAGGTAAACAATATTTAAATTTAATGTTTACTGATTTAATATTGGACATTTTAAATTAAATGCTTTTAAGTGAATTTTGCATATTTAAATATTCTGGGTTTTTAATGTACTCTGGGTTAACTCTGTAAATGGTGCTTGACTGTAAACCTTACATTTAGAAATATTATTGTTATGGTCGTTTTTAATAATTTTTATCAACATTTTCCTAGCATGTTGATAGAAATGTTTTAATGAACATTGTATATATTAAACTATTATCTGGTTTGACCATGATTGAGGATCAAAAAAATAGAAGTATTGGTTATAAGTTATATCAGAATGGCAAAATTCTATATATTATGTAGCACCTGATTGCCTAATTCCTTATAAATTATTCATTTTATAAATATAAAAAGGAGGAATTTTTTCCCGAAAAGAAAAGAAAAATTAAATGAAATTAGGATATTGAATCTGAATGAAAAATTTCATGTATTCAGATGAAGTATTAAAATATTATCTTAAAAGTACCAGTCTGATAGTACTGTACATTTTTTAGCTAAAAAAAGAATTGGACTTTTTAGTTTCTTAAATGACATGAGATGGATTGATTTCACATATGACTAACTTGAGGATTTATTCATGTGCTCAAAAATTCTTAAGGTTTAGAAGCTTTAATGTAGGGTGACCTGGGGTAATTCCTGATCAAAAAAATGCAAACATCTATTTTGTGAAAAAAGATATTCAAGATAGAATTTTAATATTTACTGGAAGTTTGAGGATTTATGAGAGGAGTCCTATGCTACCTTCTTTTGTTTGAAAATCTAATTAGAATTTAAAGGATTTTAAATTTTTAGTGATCAGGAATTACCCCTTCTCTATCTCTTGATCATTTCTGGGGTAATTCCTGATCACTTTTGGGGTAATTACTGATCACCAGTTTTTATAGTAAAGAAGCTGTTTAAAAATAATTATACAATGGTAATGAACAAATAAGACATCAAGACCAAACAAATAAACCAAAAATATATGTTTAAGCAGCTAATAAAACGATTTATTTTAAAGCAAGAATAAAGATTAACACTTCAAATTTTCCAAAAATCTTTGCATTGTGCCATACATTTTAGGCAAGCAGCCAACTCATTATCATGTTCTGCTGGAATATAAGTAAGAGTTCCCACATGGGTTACTTTTGCTGGACTTTTTAACTTCATTAAGTGAGAGTGTAAAGTTACGTAAGGTAAATCAACAGCTCTGACAGCAGCTCTCACACTGAAATTTTAATTCTCAATCATTAAAAGAAGTTCCCTGATTTTGCTTTCTAGAAGCTTAGTATCCTTTTTAGCCTTATAATTTCTTACCATATTTATATTAGGTTAATTTATAAACTTAAAAATTATTCTAACAATGTACACACATAAAATTAAGGTAGAAGGAAGGTAAGACAAACCAGAAATGGTTCAAATCAGAACACATTTGTCTTGTATAGAGTTGAAAACAAATATTGTGATTACAATTAAAATATATTTTATTATTCCATTTAATAAATATGAACTGTTATTTAAGAAAAGACAACTAGCTATTTATTAGCTATTTTTTTATACTATTTATAAGAATATTTATAAGAACAATGATCAGGAATTATCCCAGTGATCAGTAATTACCCGATCTGTAGGGGGTAACATTTGATATAGTTTCCTATTATCAATAACAATGTTTACAGTAGATGTGAAACAAAAAAACAAAAGCTTACACTATTTTTATATCAAAGAAAAATAAAATAACTCCAAATATTTATTATTAAGAGAAGGAGGGGATCTTTGCAGAATTGTGCACATTTTGAAACCCATCTTTGAAATGGAAAATACAGAAAGCAGTTTAAAAGACACTTATTTTGTTAGATTAAACAAAAACTATTATTAAGTAAATGTAGTTATACTTTAGTAAAGTGTATAGACATTCTTGTTCATGTCTCAAATTTAAAAAAAAAAAAAAATTTATTTAAACTTAGGTGATTATTATTTACCCCAGAAACAGAGTGATCGTGAAACAGAGTGATTTTTTTTCCCATAATAAGGTTTTCCTGACACTTAGTAGTTTAATTTATATCAATAGATATTCACTAAATGATTTTATTCAATTATAAAGTTGTAATGAATCAAATAATTGTCTTCAATATTAAGAAAACAATATTTCATCTTTAGAAGGACTTAGTCAATATCTCTCTCCAACTAATACTCTTTAATATGCCCATAAAATCTAAGTTGAAACAGTTTTAAGTATATTAAAAAAATTTATATCTTTTAAACAATAGATTCCTGATTATTGTTTAATTATGTATTATTTTAGTGTTTTGCGTTGATTTTTAAAATTATGCTTGACTTATGGTAATTTTTTTTTTCTTTCCAGAATTTCAAAAAATAGCCATGGCTACAGCTATTGGATTTGCTATCATGGGATTCATTGGCTTCTTTGTTAAGTTAATCCATATTCCTATCAATAACATTATTGTGTAAGTAAAATATTTCAAGTTATTAATAAAGATGTAGAAGAAATATAGTTGAACTTAACTGCTTAGAGCAATTATGTCTTAAAATGTACAAGTATTTATCTTGTTAATAAAAAGGCATAGCACTGAATATAAAATTACTTACTTTTATTGCAGTTCTAAAATATAACTTAAGCTGTATTGCTTAGGCAGTAATATTTTAAATGTAATAATTGAATATATAAATGACTTACAAAATTACTCAATAAATATGATTTATAAAATTTGTTTAAAACAGAGCACATTGAGTATCTTAGTGTTTTGGAGATAATGTCTTCAATAGCTTAAATCAATTTGCAGTCCTTGGTTTGGTCTGGGTTTTTGATTTTTTTTCTTATGTATTGGTACATCAGTCAATAAATTTCTAAGCATAGTTTTCTCTGTAATTAACTTTTCTATTATGTACATATATATTTATATAACTATTTTGATATTCTAATCAATATAAATTATTAAAAACTGTAATGCATGCATGTCTCAATTTGGGACAAAACTAAAAATATGTTTGAAAATATTGTGTAACATACAGATTTTATTTTGTTATTGATTTCCACTCTGCTTATATTTTTTACAATAAACTTGGAAACCTGTATGTAATCTTGAAATATTTATCCAAAATTTATAACTAAGAGGAATCAATACTTAATAGTATTGATCGATCCTTCCAAATTGAAAACTGAAGTTAATGCAAACCACAGCTGTACAGAAAGTGACATTTTTAGTAATTGAAGTCTTTCAGTGATAGGTGACTAGTTTTGCATACTTTTCGTCGCCTAGCACATTTCAATGATAAGAATGGATATCTAAAAACTTTCAATTGATGTTGAACCAACTTGACTAGACAAAAGCGATTGAATCAACTTTCAAAACTTTTTTTCATTACTATCGTCTACTGTTAGAAATTCACATTTTGACAGTTAAATATTCACACAGTCACATTAAAATTTTTGGAGTTATTTCTGTGTCTGAAAATCACAGACACCCCAATTTCACAAGTTATGATCAAGCATTCAATAGTGAAGCCCAATTTTTTTTCAAAAAGAGGCTAAAAAAACTATGTTTTAATTTTAAAATGGTTACGCAGTAACTTTATTTTTCTTGCTCAAAACTAATTGTACTTCTGAAAAGAAACATTTATACATTGATAATTTAATGGAAGTGATATTTTTATTGTGACTTTTTTTTTATCTTCGAATTATGCACGCTAAGTTTTAATCTTTATTTTTGGCTGTAGTTCAGGAGAACATTTCAATGATTCTAAGCTTATTAATATCAGAAAGGTTACTGCCCTATCTGCAAAACTTCAACTTATGCTTTTGTCTTCTTTATAAAAAGAATTCAGTTCTATTTGAATAAACCAATTTTAATCTTTCAGTTATAGGTTTTTTCACCTCTAATTTCATCACTTTTTATATATATATATATAAATTTGAATAAGCGATGTATAAAATTTTAAATAAGCTAATCGAAATGTCACCCTGTGGGTGTCTGAAATGAATATAATGTACATTCTTCCACAAGTTCATAATTCGATGCACATCTTATCAAATTAAAAACCTATTATTTTAAGATTCTAAAAATTATATATATTGTTTGATTAAGGGAGGGAAATTGTTCACTCTGAGCTGTAACAAATTACTTATTTTTCATTGTAGATGAGGGTATTTTTTTTCTGTGAATAAAATTAATATTTTTTGGTTGATCAACTGTTTGTATATCTTTTCATCACTTACAATGAAATTTTCCATTGATTCCTGATTAACTGAAATGTATAATTTATTTTTAGGGGATCCTGAACATGTGAATATTGCAGATTTCTTCGCTTTTCATCTGTTCTCCATATGTTTTAAATGTTGTAAAATTCTATGTAAAATGATGAAATAAAAAGTTTTTACTAAATATTAGCATTTTTTAATACTTGGAAAACACTGTAGAAAACCCACTGAATAATTCAGTTACTTTATTGTTTGTAAAACATGAAAATTCATATTTATTTAGCTGTTCCCTCTTGTCCAAATAGGTTCTAAAATATTACTTGTTATTATTTCAAAACATTCTGTTCTTAAATTATAATCTAAATTATTTATAAGGGTTTTTTTAAACAAAAAAAATTCATGTTTCCGTTTAAGCTAAGTCAATGAAATTTTCTGCAGTTATTGTTTATAATATAAAAAAAGTGATCACCAATCAATAGAAGTTACAAGCTGATGACTTATTTCTTTAAATAGAAGCACTTGTTCATTATTTATTTCACGACATAATTTATTGTTGGTCCATCAAGTCTCTAAAAGTTTTACACTTTATTAAAAAGTTAGAAAAAACGCCTGATCCAAATACCTGTAGAGTGATGATTTTCTTAGTACTTCTTGGGAAATACTTGGAGAATACTGAATGGAATATTCTTAAAAGGCTACAATCAGAAAATTCTAGCTAAAATTTTTCTAAAATCGAGTATTAATATTTTTTTCAGAAAAAAAAAATATCTGTAATATTAAAAAAAAGCGAATTACAGCAACATTTATATAGAATGTTAAAAGCTCTTACAAATATTTTTTCCCTTAGGTGGGAAGTAAAAATTTTCTGTTGAAATTATGAAAAGTTTTTTTCTCCAGGTAATTATATTCAAAACATGTTTTTCCTGCCTTGAGAGAAAGAAATATTCGTTATTTTTTTATACTTGATGGAGAATAATGGCAAATAGAGAAAAAATGGCAATGATTTAAAAAAAGTTGGTTTTCTTTTCTACAGAAATTTTCAAAGCATTTTTTCCCCCTCCAGAATTATGTTAACGGATTTTTTTTTTTTTTTTTGCATATTGGAGGAAAAAAATGCTCGTGATTTTTCAATTCTCATTTGAGAAAAATGAAGTAAGGAATTTTGGTTTTCTTTTCTGTAGAAATTTGCGAAAAATATTTTTTCCCACCAGAATTATATTCAAAAGATGCCATTCTCATGCATCGAAGGGGAAAGAATTTTTTTATTCTCATTTGAGAATAACAAAGTAAGAAATTTAGTTTTCTTTTCTGTAGAAATTAGCGAAAAATATTTTTTCCCACCAAAATTATATTCAAACGATGCCATTCTCATGCATCGAAGGGGAAAGAAATTTTCATAATTTTTCTGTTCTCATTTGAGAATAATAAAGTAAGAAATTTTCGAAATATTGTGTTTTTCACTCCAGAATAATATTCAAAAGATAACTTTTTCGTGCATCGGAGGGGCCAGCAAATTTTTATTCTTATTCGAGAATAATAAAATCAGATAAAGACTAAAAAAAACGAAATCGCGAAATTTTAGAAAATAACTCCTAATATCCGACAGTTATTGCTAGGAATTTTCTTTTTTAAAAAAAAAAAAACATATCCCGGTGTTTTTTATGCAATTTAATTATACGCGGAATTCAAAATCAATTATTTATTTATTTACTTTTAATGTGAAGATTTGTCTTCGATTAAATTTTGTTAGTGTTACCTAATTCCACGGGATTTTTAAAATTTTGCTTATTTCTCAGTTTATAGTATTTCTACACATAAAATTCGAATTGCGCATTTGAATAATCTCTTTTTGACGCGCTCAATTTAAACCGACAGTATCATAAATCCATGCAACGTTTCGATTGCATTTTCAGCAGTTATTGATATTGATTTTCACGTAGCTTTTAAATATCCTGATATATTTCTGACAGTATGGGAAAATCAAATTGCGCATTTGAATATATAATTT